ATCAAGACGTATTTCATTTGTTGGTTGATGAAAAATAATTATAGCTAATTTACCATTTTTATAACATAAATCATCAATACATTCATCTTTTCGACATATTATTGGTGATGGCCATTCTTTAATAAATTGTATTGATGGTAATAATGTAAATTCATATATTGATGAACCTAAATCAACTGTTGATAAATATAAATTTGTATTTGAACATGAACCTGAACGCCAATTATGATAAATATTATTATGATAATTTAAATCACATCGTTCAATAGCCATTAGATTTTCATCAATAGTAAAAATTGTATCATTAGTTATAACAATAAAACGATTTAATGTTAATGACCAACACATAATATATATTCGACCATGTATCCATGGAGTTTTTGTAATAAGTGATAATTGTCGATCAAGTAAATATAAATTAGGTTTATAATGTATTAATAAATATTTTTCATTAGTAGTCATCCAACAATAACTATCATCAATAATATTCATTGTTCTATATGGACGTGAAAGAGGTAAAAGATTTTGTGTAATTTTATTTGATTGAATTTGTGCAATATTTTCATCAATAACTAATGGACGAATATTACATTGAATATTTGATAAATCATTTAAATCTTGTTCAATTAATTTAATTGTATCTTTTATTAAATTAATATCTTCTTGTGTTGCATTTTGTTCTCGTATAAGATCATTAATTTTTAATCGTAAATGGTCAATTTCTTTTCGTTGTTTATCGTGATTTTCTTTAATAAATTGTTCAAAATGTCGACGTTGTGTTTCATAAAAATGATCAATTGTACGATATGCATCAGTACGCCATTTATCAAGACTTGTTATTAAATATGGTTCAACTAAAGATACATGATGAAAACGATCTGATAGAATATTGATTTCAGTAATTAATGAAGTAAGCTGATGATCATTTTGTTTATTTGAATGATTTTGTAAATGTTCAATACATAAATATTGATTACAACAAATACATAGAGCACATGATGAATGTTTACAACCTGGATTACTACATGACCTTGGTGAGATTGAAGAATACATTT